CGGATGTGGGGCGACCCCATGCGGACAGCTCAGGGGGCCGGGAGTCATGGATGTGGGGTGACCCCATGGGGACAGGTTGGGGGGACTCTGCCTCACGGATGTGGGGTGAACCCATGTGGACAGCTCAGGGGGCCAGGAGTCATGGATGTGGGATGACTTTGTGGGGATGGGTCGGGGGGCCGGGACCCATGGATGTGGGGTGACCTCATAGGGATGAGTTGGGGCACTTAGCCTCACGGATGTGGGGTGACCCCACAGGGATGAGTCGGGGGGCTTGGCCCCACAGATGCGGGGTGACCCCATGAGGATGGGATGGGGTGCTCAGACCCATTGTGGCCCTGCAGGGACAGGCTGGGGGGCTCAGCCCCATGGATGTGGGGTAACTCCACAGAGATGGGTTGCAGGGCTCAGCCCCATGGATGTGGGTGACCCTGTGAGGATGGGTTGCGGGCTCGGCCCCACAGATGTGGGGTAACTCTGCAGGGACGGGTTGGAGGGCTCAGCCCCATGGATTTGGGGTAGCTCCGCAGGGACGGGTTGGGGGGGGCTTAGCCCCATGGATGTGGGTGACCCTGTGAGGATGGGTCGGGGGCTCGGCCCCACAGATGTAGGGTGACTCTAGGGGGACAGGTCAGGGGGCTCAGCCCCAGGGATGTGGGGTGACCTGCAGGGATGGGTTGGGGGGCTGGGACCCATGGATATGGGGTGACCTCGTGGGGATGGGTTGGGGGGGCTCATCCTCATGGATATGGGGTGACCTCGCAGGGATGGTTCAGGGGGGCTCAGCCCCATGGATGCGGGGTGACCCTGCCAGGATCTCACGGTGGTTTGGGGGAGTTGGGCTCAGACAAAGCCGGGGCTAAGTATGTGTGGAGGGGACATGCTGGAGGAGTGGGCAATGGGGGGACGGGGGACGGATAAGGGATGGAGCTGGATGGAGGAATGGAGCTGGAGAGGGAGTGGATGGAGGGATGGGGATGGATGGGGACAGTTGGAGCGACAGGGCTGGATGGAGAGATAGAGATGGATGGAGGAACGGAAACGGAGGGATGGAGATGGATGGATGGAGATACGTGGTGGGGTAGGGTGGATGGGGAATGGAGGGAGGGATGGGGATGGATGGAGGAATGGGGATGGATGGAGGGAAGGAGATGGAGGAATGGGGATGGATGGAGGGAAGGAGATGGATGGAGGAATGGGGATGGAGGGAGGGAAGGAGATGGAGGGAGGAAAGGAGATGGATGGAGGGAAGGAGATGGATGGAGGAATGGGGATGGATGGAGGGAAGGAGATGGGTGGAGGGAAGGAGATGGATGGAAGAATGGGGATGGAGGGAGGAATGGGGATGGATGGAGGAATGGGGGTGGAGGAAGGGAAGGAGATGGATGGAAGAATGGGGATGGAGGGAGGGAAGGAGATGGAGGGAGGGATGGGGATGGATGGAGGGAAGGAGATGGAGGGAGGGATGGGGATGGATGGAGGGATGGAATTGGAGGAGGGAAGGGGTCAGGCGGGGAACAGATGAATGGCCGGGCAACGGATGGGGAACGGACGGAGGGATGGGGACAGATGAGGAACGACAGGAGATGAACGAAGGGAGGGCAGGCTGGATGGGGAACCGATGGAGGGATGGGGCTGGACGGCGGGACGGGAACGGCCAGAAGGACG